AAGAACCTAATCAGCGAGGGGTCCTTTATCATCCCTATGTGGCTGCTTATAAAAATCTGATATCTCTTCCCAAAGACCTGGTTAATAATATATTTTCTGCTGAATATTCGAAACAGAGTGAGTGAGTTGGTACTTCATATGTTTACGGTTCTATTTTAAATGACTGCAGCGCTCCATTATGAAAACAAATTGTTTTAACGCCGCTCTCAGCAGTATTCCAGTGATATATGACGGCGGTCTGTTGTATATGAAATAAATGCAAATTGAATCTTGAATCTTGAAAGTTGTAACATTTCCGCTAATAAGTATCACATGCAGTATACAGTATATCAACTGCAATATACTGTATACAACATTCAGTATACAGTGTGTCGCGAGCTCTGCGCTGGCCTGGAGCACACATTTCCTTCACCTCTCCCTTCGGCAAACACCTCATGAGGGTTGCAACGAGGTCACAGGTCAGGCGTGCACTCGTCAGTTGTCTAATACGGTCAAGAGTAAGATCTTCCGGAAGACGACTGCACTAGAGGTATGCGGATTGTTGATGAGGTACTACGTGATTGGAACTGGGAGTCGAACACTAAGCACTTTTAGAGAAGAGCTCACAATAAAACGTTATGGAATCGCGGACGGACTTGTGTTTTCATTTCAAGACTTACATGTATCAGGTTAAACTTCTACGACAGATGTAACTTGGTTACCGCTTCCTAACTGTAACATTAACTAAACTTTACGCCTTTTCTACACATTTGTGATGGGGCGACAATGCGACAACGAGACATATTTTGACCTTGAAAATGTCGCGTTACTGACTGACTGATATAGGAAATTTAACGTGCGCTTTCCGACTGTAGCGTATTTCGCACATGGGCCTGGCCGGACCATTTATTGTATTCCGAAAAGGGTGAAGGTGGTCGCGTTACGGCATCGTCGCCCTTTTTGTAAAATAAAGAAAAGGATTATTCAAAGAGCGACAATGCAAACACGCGACAATGCGACAAATGGCCAATGGTCGCGCTTTTGTTAATTTTGACACGTTTTGCTTGTTTTTGTAAGGACGTCAATGCGACAACGCAACAATGTCCCTTCCATAGTGATCGTGCAAATAAAACTGAGTTATGAAATAGAAGTCTTACATGCTAAAAGATAAAGTGTTGCAGCTTCTGATTTCATAGATCTTTAAGAAGGATTATCAATAATGGGATGGGTGATGAGTTCAACTGCATGCCGAGTCTATATGTTGTGATTAACAAATAATGCTCCGAGTCAATACATTTTGTCAAAATGTATAATGACATGTATTACGTGGATGAACATATTGTTTATACTTGTCCATGTTTTTGACGGACAATATAATTAACATGCTCGGTAAAAGTGAGGACGGGCATCATTGTGTGTTTCCGTGCATTGTTCAGGTGAACAATTGACTTGTCCTTGCATGTGTTTGTGACGGGTGCCACTTGTGTGGCAGAATACGCTCACCTTTTCCCGAACACCCGTTGGATGGCCTGAACCAATTCGGATTTTAATCCCACATCAGTCTGATACATCGTGATATAACTGAATTACTGAAATACTGTACAGTTGAAAATGGTGTTTAATGCGATTACCGTAGTTTGTTACTGCAACTGTTCAAATGTTGTGCAGTGCTGTTATGTAATATATAAAAGAAAGCATATTCAATTATCTAATTGATTTGAATAGAATATACTTGCGTCATTGTATTTTATTAACGCCCCAAACCGTAATTTAAACACATATAATAACAGATCATATACACGCATGGTGCCTTGACTTACTGCTATCTTTAATAGCGGGAGATATTTCCGAAGTTGTTAATCAACCTGTGGCTATTTCAAGCCATTGTCATCACTGATCAATTGACCGATCGTTGAAAGGTGATTGTAAAGATGTGTCAAATAGATCCTAAGGTAAATTCATAGATTGCTGTAGATTGTCACTACGATAGTTTGGATGTTTTTTTCGTTTGTTTTTTCTCTGGGATGGGTTGTAGCGAGGGTATCCTTAAACAGGCATGCAACCACGCTTCTGTATGAATTCGTACCAGGGAATTCCAAGGGTTTTCCCCAGGAATGTGGAAGTAGTCATGATCAGTGTTTACGCCATTTCAAGAATACAGTCACGTGAAGAACGTCATGTGACCGACCTCTCGTCCTAGCCGTATATCTTGTAAACTTCACATTTAAAAATTAGTTATTATTATAACCAAATGAAACACAACCCGTTATCCGATAGGGGTACTTGTTCATAGCCGAGGGATATGTTACCACAATAAACTTGGTAACATTGTTTGGTTTGACTTCTTGGTGCGTGCCTGAATTCCATTAACATGTTACATATCCTAAAACTGGCTTATCAGCAAATCTCGCTGCACTGCGCGCGACAGAAACTAGAGTAAGGCATGCCAGAAATACGAAACCTAAAGCTTTCGAAAGGAAGCCTTAGGAATCACGTGCGTCGGGGGACCAGCGCCATCTGATTGGCCGTTAACAGTTGTACAAGGCGGAGCAAAAAGCATCGTTTTTCCGTCCATTTTACGCTTGGAAAACTCGACCCTTTTCTGGACACTTCTAGACGCTCACCAATTAATCAATTTTAAGGAATTTTTAGTCCTTTTCCCCTCTAATGACCATATACGGAAAAAAACGACGTTTTCGTGTTTGCAGTGACATGATCCATACTTACAGGTTGTATCTGCATCAGTCAGGACATGTACATGTTCATCTATATCGGGAACTTGTTAAAGCATCACATGATCCATACTTACAGGTTGTATCTGCATCAGTCAGGGCATGTACATGTTCATCTATATCGCGAACTTGTTAAAGCATCACATGATCCATACTTACAGGTTGTATCTGCATCAGTCAGGGCATGTACATGTTCATCTATATCGGGAACTTGTTAAAGCATCACATGATCCATACTTACAGGTTGTATCTGCATCAGTCAGGGCATGTACATGTTCATCTATATCGGGAACTTGTTAAAGCATCACATGATCCTTCCTAATAGGTTGTATCTGCATCAGTCAGGGCATGTACATGTTCATCTATATCACGAACTTGTTAAAGCATCACATGATCCTTCCTAATAGGTTGTATCTGCATCAGTCAGGGCATGTACATGTTCTTCTATATCACGAACTTGTTAAAGCATCACATGATCCTTCCTAATGGGTTGTATCTGCATCAGTCAGGGCATGTACATGTTCATCTATATCGGGAACTTGTTAAAGCATCACATGATCCTTCCTAATAGGTTGTATCTGCATCAGTCAGGGCATGTACATGTTCATCTATATCACGAACTTGTTAAAGCATCACATGATCCTTCCTAATAGGTTGTATCTGCATCAGTCAGGGCATGTACATGTTCATCTATATCACGAACTTGTTAAAGCATCACATGATCCTTCCTAATAGGTTGTATCTGCATCAGTCAGGGCATGTACATGTTCATCTATATCACGAACTTGTTAAAGCATCACATGATCCATACTTACAGGTTGTATCTGCATCAGTCAGGGCATGTACATGTTCATCTATATCGGGAACTTGTTAAAGCATCACATGATCCATACTTACAAGTTTTATCTGCATCAGTCAGGGCATGTACATGTTCATCTATATCGGGAAATTGTTAAAGCATCACATGATCCATACTAACAGGTTGTATCTGCATCAGTCAGGGCATGTACATGTTCTTCTATATCGCGAACTTGTTAAAGCGTCACATGATCCATACTAACAGGTTGTATCTGCATCAGTCAGGGCATGTACATGTTCTTCTATATCGCGAACTTGTTAAAGCGTCACATGATCCATACTAACAGGTTGTATCTGCATCAGTCAGGGCATGTACATGTTCATCTATATCGGGAAATTGTTAAAGCATCACATGATCCATACTTACAGGTTGTATCTGCATCAGTCAGGGCATGTACATGTTCATCTATATCGGGAACTTGTTAAAGCATCACATGATCCATACTTACAGGTTGTATCTGCATCAGTCAGCATGTACATGTTCATCTATATCGCGAACTTGTTAAAGCATCACATGATCCATACTTACAGGTTTTATCTGCATCAGTCAGGGCATGTACATGTTCATCTATATCGGGAACTTGTTAAAGCATCACATGATCCATACTAACAGGTTGTATCTGCATCAGTCAGGGCATGTACATGTTCTTCTATATCGCGAACTTGTTAAAGCATCACATGATCCATACTTACAGGTTGTATCTGCATCAGTCAGGGCATGTACATGTTCTTCTATATCGCGAACTTGTTAAAGCGTCACATGATCCATACTAACAGGTTGTATCTGCATCAGTCAGGGCATGTACATGTTCATCTATATCGGGAAATTGTTAAAGCATCACATGATCCATACTTACAGGTTGTATCTGCATCAGTCAGGGCATGTACATGTTCTTCTATATCGGGAACTTGTTAAAGCGTCACATGATCCATACTAACAGGTTGTATCTGCATCAGTCAGGGCATGTACATGTTCATCTATATCGGGAAATTGTTAAAGCATCACATGATCCATACTTATGGGTTGTATCTGCATCAGTCAGGGCATGTACATGTTCATCTATATCGGGAACTTGTTAAAGCATCACATGATCCATACTTACATGTTGTATCTGCATAAGTCAGGGCATGTACATGTTCATCTATATCGGGAACTTGTTAAAGCATCACACGATCCATACTTACAGGGTGTATCTGCATCAGTCAGGGCATGTACATGTTCATCTATATCGGGAACTTGTTAAAGCATCAAACGATCCATACTTACAGGTTGTATCTGCATCAGTCAGGGCATGTACATGTTCATCTATATCGCGAATTTGTTAAAGCATCACATGATCCATACTTACAGGTTGAATCTGCATCAGTCAGGGCATGTACATGTTCATCTATATCGGGAACTTGTTAAAGCATCACATGATCCATACTTACAGGTCAGATATGATGCCGGAAATGATTGAACCACAGAGCAGGCCGACAAACAGAATACTGTTAGTCAAAGCCCTCAAGCTGCTGTTGCTGCATACCATGTTCAGCTGCAAAATAGTAATACCCGTTGTAATCTTTGCTGGTATGCCTCAAAATCCGTTGTGAGGTTCTATTGTATTCCATACTTGAAAACATACCGATGCAACATATAGTATTAACTGAAGTTGTTTCTGGTAAGTATGTGCTACATGCAATAACATATGTACGGACATTACTCTTCTATGGCATTTAAGCCATACATGTATGTCTCGTGATGTTGATAGAGATGTTGTGTGTGTGAGAGAGAGAGAGAGGGAGTGCGTGTGTGTGTGTGTGTGCGTGTGTGTGTGAGAGAGAGAGAGAGTGTGTGTGTGTGTTTGTGTGTGTGTGCGTGTGTGTGTGTGTGTGTGTGTGTGTGTGTCGCTCTGTGTGTGTGTGTGTGTGTGTCTGTTTGTGTGTGCATGTGTGTGTGTGTGTGTGTGTGTGTGTGTGTGTGTGTGTGTGTGTGTGTGTGTGTGTGTGTGTGTGTGTGTGTGTGTGTGTGTGTGTGTGTGTGTGTGTGTGTGTGATAAGAGCATTCAGTGTGTATACATATATCGTAACAAAAGTGTAATCCAGTAAATACGTACATGTTCGTGTTTATTATTGATCTGAATAATGATTGGTATTGCAAATCGTTTAACGTGCTCAGAATTGTAGGCAATGTGAGATGTCAAATAATACCATTATGACTGGTGTTTATGTTTATTTGGATAACAAATATATGTTCAAAAAATGTAATGAGAACCATTTATCTTTAACTTTGAAGTTACATATGTTGTTTTTCAGCCATATTGTGACCAGAGCATTTGCAAAGATTATATCGAAATAACATTATGTCAACAAAGGACAGTATGGTTTCTCTTAAATTGGAGAATACTAAAAGCGTTTTACTATCAATAGTCACCATCTAAAATTAGGGATACAGATCGCCAGCAACCAAAGTTGCTTAGAATGGTATCTATGTCGTTTGTGCAAATAGTAAGAGAATTCGTGCAAGCTACAGAACCTCATGGGTGTAAGTTTATAAACCTACATCTCAACAGGTAATATTGGTAAAAGTGTATATACTGTTCCGATTCAAACCCGACTGGCAAGCAGTTGCTTTGCCAAATGTGAGTGAGTGAATGTGGTTTGAGGCCACGTTTCAGTTCGTAATAGCATTCATACAGTATATACAAGATCTGGACTAATTAGTTCAGTATTCATTGCAAACTGTAGTGTCAATATTTACCGATCACATTCACTTTTATTTCTGGTGAATTACATCACCCTCAAGTCAGTATAATATGAAATGTTAGTTGCCTACAACGTACCTCTGTCACATCAGTGTTCTTGAAAATGGACTTGTCGTACACCCAGGCATGGCATTCCTGGGCGGATCTGTTCTTACCCATCGGACTATTTTCTTTGAAGATGCGACAGGGGTCCCTCACACTGATCCCTTTCTCTATAGTCCAGGGGATGGTGGCGTTGAGAAGAAGCTCGTGGTGAGGTCCTTGTATGGTAAAAGTGTCGTTACTGATCCCGGGTAGAGCACATCTTCAGAAGAAAAACTAATCACCAAAAAATAGGCCACGGGTGTGTGTTATGGGATGGTACGGACTGCTAAATAATGTTTATTCCTGATACAGGGTATTTACTATCCCTAAACACCAAAGCGTGATTATCTCTTCAACATAGAATGTCATTCTTAAATCATATCATCGAAGCATCTCCTTTCATCTCTCACAAACCTAAACATTGCAAGTTTTCCTGGAATGTGCGCATTAATATGTATACTACTCTTAAGTAGTCAAAGAAAACTCGATTCTATCATATTACTTTTGGTTTTATATATATTTGTTGTTTAACGCCGTACTCAACAATATTCAAGTTGTATGACGGCTGTTTGTAAATAATCTAGTCTGGACCATAAATGGACAATCCTGTGATTGACATCATGAGCGTCGATATACGCATTCCGTTACGACGATATACATCAACCAAGTCAGCGAGTCGCGTTTATAGCCTCTTACGACAATAAATTCTCACCCGGATCTGCGCGGGTGACAGAATAACTATAGCATTATGAAATAATCTGATGCTCTTTAACTTCTTTTAATTAGTAAATTACATGAAAAGGAAATTGCTTAGTCAGTCGGACACTGCACAGAGGAAGAATGACACGTATGGTTTCCTGTGTGACTTTTGTGACAATTGATCGGTCCATTTGTTAGAAAATGGGGCCCTTATCTACAGGAAGCTAATCTAACACAAGTCTGTGAGACGTTACTTTTGGCTAGAGTCTTCTAAGCGTGTCATTACGTTCCGAATTGCAGCCAAATGTCCTATCACCGAAAAATGAACCGAGGTAACATTTTGGACGTATTTCATATTAAGTCCATCTGTTGGGAACTGGGGAAAGTTCTCAAGCTGCAGAGATGTTTAAACAGTTGCAGAGTCACGTAAAGTGCATCTTCCCGAGGCAAGAGAGTTAACTGACTTTAAAAGTCCAGTTTCCACCCTTGCCGAACTAGGCTGGAATTCCTGGGCTCGACCATAGCGCCACCAGTGGCTATTACGAGTTATGTCCCTTCTAAGCCTCCCCTTCTGGACCAATAAGATTCATCTGTCGTATCACTTGCATTTGCTTCAAACAAAATGGCGCCGCCAAGTCAAGACGATCTGATCGATAATCAAGTTCTTTATTGTGATAAAACGAGTCTTACATCGCGAAATGTATCAAATCAAGCGAGCACCTTGATTATAAACAGGAAAATATCTGTTGACAACAATTTGGTGGTGAACATGCTTTGAAAATCCTGCAATCGACCGAAATCTGCACGACAGTTTACGAACCAGATTTCGATTTCGTTGCGCGATTTTGATTGGACTATGCAGAGACTCGTTAGTGCAGTCAAAATGGAACTCCATTATACCGGCCTAGTTCGGCAAGGGTGGAAACTGGACTTTTACAGTCAGTTAACTCCCTTGCCTCGGGAAGATGTGTAAAGTGATCCTTGCTAAATTTTTTTGCAATTTATATCTCCAAAGTTGTCAAATTGTAACATGTAACAGCTACGTAAATGTTAGATGGTATCTTGGACTATTTGTTTATAATGATAACAGTTTTCGCAGTAATTTCTCCAAATTACCGAGGGTCAATTCTGTCCAGATCGCCATGTTTGTTGTACGTGCCATGACATTTAGTAAATACTGAAAGTAGTTCCTTCCTGACCTTTTATATTTGCATATTTATCCGTAATGGATACCGTTATTTTCGGTTGGCTCGAGATACCTACCCGTTATATGAAAAAAATACATTATGCCTACTTGACATACATGTCAATATCAATATGGTGATTGCAGCGTGAAGCAACAGTCACTGGAATATGTGACCTTCAAGGAAACTGGTTGCTCAATTATAGAAATGAAGTGCCGCAGCTCACCTTACATTTACATTTTTACACCTGGAATACTTGCATCATGATCGAACAAGTTGAAATTCGATTTGCGAAAGGTATTATGCGGGTTAAAAATCAACCATCGTCATGTTGGCTCTGTTGTCAACACTCTGATGCATGAACAACTGTAGTCGGAAAATTCAAATGTTTGGCCAAGTTCAAAACACGGTTAAGAATACTATGTTTATTTTAAATTTGAGTTGTATCTGCGGATTATGGCACGACTATGGGGTGCACACTCTGCACAGTGAAGTCCGACACCTAAGACAAATTTGTTTACACCTTTAAATTTTAGTGTGGTCGCTTCATTTCATATACAATATTGATTTCAGTAACATAAAACTAATCATCGAATTCTCAACTCTATTCAGTGATAATTGACACATCTATGATTAAACACGTATGAACTACTTTTGATGTAATTTTACAGGTCTCATTAGAGGCGAGAAATCTGATTTAGAAACGACCAACAAGCACCACTGTGACTTTGTATGTAATACTGGACCCATGAGTCTGTTTGTGGATACTATGGAGTGCATTGAATGTCATGCTATGTGACTAGGCGAAACGCATTTATTGTTTTGGTTGTCAGTTCATTGACGTGTGTGACAAACTCACAAGGCTGTACCGAAAGAAAGACATTTGGAAAAGACAACTTATCCACAGCTTTGATAACAAAATCCTCTTTCTTTGTATTTGTAAACAAACAACAACAATGCAATCAGATGATTTATTACATGTGGTATTGTATCTCTACTCAACTTGGGTGCATTTCTAAAATAAAATGGGGACATCATACCTTACCAGTGGTCTGCACTTCATGTCACTAGAAATGTAAAACTTACCTGTGTTTAGGTACATTGAGCGTGAAGACATGGCTCAACAACTGTAGACCGGCAAATAATGCAGGCATACACAGAAGAAGAAAGATCCGTTTCTGGAAAGTGCCAAATGGTCCAAGGTGATCCTCAAGAATTACATCAAACTTCATCCTGAACCACTGGTGCAGCACTGTGAGCGAACATCCATTATAATCGTTGTTAACATGTACCAGCTTGTCTTGACGAGTCAAAGCTGATACAAAGTCTCCAAAACCACATCAAATGTCATAATAGTAACGACCATAACTGATTGGTGATAATATTTACATGAATGGATAATGTTTTGAAGGCATACTATTTACGTGAATCGTAATTTGCACATTTTGATACTAAAATAAAACTAACAATTATTCAAATATTAGTTTGACATAAAAGTATATATTACAAACGAACCTGTTCAAGCAAGGTAACATGTTTCTTTGGCAGGTGTCACGATGGTTTACAGGTCACCACGAGACTGATGATGAAGAAGTGTATTGTTTCTCTCTACTATAAAGTATGTCATAATCCTCAGCAATAAGCCAGGCCCCGATTACGTGATTGTGATCATGAGCCAGTGTATAACTTTTCATTTCAGTAAGACAGATAATGTTACATGTGAGGCCGTTATAGCCTTGTTGCCATGCCTGAACAAAATATACACGATATACGTTAAAAATGGGCTTCAGGTAATGTACCCATGTGTGCTACAGGTGTCACATGTCTGTACCTACAGGGTCCCTAGACTGCTGTCTGATGAAATGAGAGTCACCACTTTTAATGCACTGTTTACCAGGTATAATAGCAAGCAGATGCTTTTCATTTTAGACCAGTGACAGGTAGTCATTACTATGATCCCGAGATCAAACAAGAATGTATGGAGTGAAGACACTTCGGATCTCCCAAGGTCAAGAAGTGTTAAATATAGAGCAGAACTTATGACCACCTCACCAGGACAGTAAAGGCATTAAACACATCGATTATTTACGATGGGGGATGTATGAATGGTGAATATTATGCCAACTTATTGAAAAGATTCCGCGAGTCTATCAAACAGAGTGAGTGAGTGAGTTAAGATTTAACGTAACATCGGCAGTATTTCAGCCATATCGTGACGAGAAGTACATTAATAATACATAAATGTATACAATATAAAAAGCTGTCAACGATGGACAGTAAAATTACTAGAATATCACAGATTAATATTTAAAACTAGCATACAACTATAAACGAAATCACTATATATAACGGTACAATATAAAAAAGGGCTATAGATCGCCAGCAGCTGAAGGTAGATCACCATGTTAGGGTCCATGGCTATCAAACAGAAGCATCGCCGCCAAATGGAGATGCTCCAGCTCACACTACTAGTATTCATATTGCAAATGACCGCGTCACGGAAATGTGGATTCGACCTTATTCACCAGATCTGACCTCGAGTCACAACCACCTGTTTTCAAATTTGAACAAAAAACAACACTGTCATTGTCAGAGACTTAACGAGGAGAAAGTACTGATTGCTGATGTGGGTGGCTGATTGACAGAGAGGGATTTGACCGTCCAGGATCTAGGATAATTGACCTGGGTACCGTTTCACAAGGCAGTCGTAAATCTACACGATCGTAGAGTTTACGCCTTGTTTGCGCGATGTTTACGCCATGGTTTCACAAAGCTACATACACTAAAACGCGTAACCTCGACTACCTCACACGCCCGTTAAAATACAACTGGAGCTCTTTCCCTTTGTGAGGAAGGAAAATCCGCACTGGAGCTATCTACCGTGGCAGATGCTTTGAGCAGACCACGAAGCGCAGTAAAATGGAGGACATTTGCGAAAAGAAATCAAGGAAGAAGTTGGGTGGTAGCTGGTAGTAATTCCGATGTGGCGTCTTCATCGTTTTCTTCCTGTATCATTAACAATCGAAAGGAGAATATCTGGGATGACATTCTGGCTAAGTGAGTGCATTTCTCCGGCATTGAACCCGCATCTGTCATGTGAAGAATGTGTTTTATTTTTAAGTGATAAACCTATGCCATTTCGAGTTATCGCGCCTGTTGTTATGTGGGAGTAAACAAATAGCGATACATGTTGACTGTAAATCTACTTGAACTTGCAAAGAGCCCCATACGTCTTTGACAGTGTAATATTTGAAAATGTGGGAATTAGTCTTATTGTTTGGGATACATATCTGATATATTTGTGAATTCAAAAGAAACATTATGTGCATATATGCACACAAATGTGAGAGGTCTCGGAAGTCATACTACCACTTAACTCACATTATTTAGACTACACGTAATTTTCCTTTATGTCCGGCTTACATGTATGTTCCTATATGTCCGGCTTATGTTCCTATATGTCCGGCTTATGTTCCTATATGTCCGGCTTACGTTCCTATATGTCCGGCTTATGTTCCTATATGTCCGGCTTATGTTCCTATATGTCCGGCTTATGTTCCTATATGTCCGGCTTATGTTGCTATATGTCAGGCTTACGTTCCTATATGTCCGGCTTACGTTCCTATATGTCAGGCTTATGTTGCTATATGTCAGGCTTATGTTCCTATATGTCCGGCTTAGTGATTAAAAACCGAAGAAGATAAGCTAAAGATTCTCAGGGAATTTGTTTCTCCTTTTTATGGCCAAAATATATGCCCGATAATAAAATTATTTTGATCATGACAAAAGCTGTATAATTTGTATATTTTTATCATATGAAATTATCTGAAGTCATAACTGTCTAGTAATACAGAGTAGACAGTAACATACATCTTATGATTAATACTCTTGTGCTTACTGTGAATGATAAAAACAATAGCACAAGGCTATAATTTAAGTGAATTTATGCAAAATTAATTGATGTCTTGCTGACAGTCCATCACGACCAGTGCCTGGTTGTTGGATAGTCAGCTGGACGTGGAGCAGTTCCCTCTGCTGGGAGTCGCTTAACGCCCTGGGGTAGTGGTAGTCATTCATATAAGCACATGTTATGCAACAAAAAGACGGCCCGGACCACACGCAAACGCCTTTCTTGGGTGAATTGTATGACACCGGTTGTCTTGTGAAGGCATCTGAAAATTTGACGAAGCACATTTTATCTATTGCAAGTTATTTTCACCACTTCTTCCCTGTTATTAAGGTTATACGTTTGTTGAAAATTAAATTGATAATGTTTTTCAAGAATTTTCTTTTTTCATTTCGGCAGTTAAGGTAATGCTACAACAACTAAAGAAAGCACAAATTGAGATTTTAAGTAACTCTTTTTTAATTTTTTCAAGTGAGCAACAATGGTACCATGAATAGATAACATAACATGTTTTCCTCTTGTAACTGTGCCTTCAATGTTTTCATAACCCAAATATGACCCAAAATAATTTTTTCATTTACAATAATTACTTGGTTACATATCCAACTTACTGTTACCACTTACCGAAATCTTGACTTGCACAAGTTCTTTCTATTGTGTTCGTGTCTTGATATGGCATCTGTTGTATTTCTCCTTAGCACAGGGTCAGCAGCCATGGACTACAGTCATACCTGCAACATAAGTGATAACGATAACACTACATCCAGACGTCATCAAAATGTTATCCATATTTAATTAAGTACAGTTTTGTCAGATTTTTCATCATACATTTAAAGTTCAACTGTATTTACCCAGTATAGGTGAATGTCATGTATATATTTTGTAGTTTTATTTACCCAGAGTCTCCAAGTAGCCACCCATCTATATTCTTCTTTTCAAGGTGCTGGCCAAGGGCAGAGTTATTCCATATACAATTGTCATGGACAGAGCCAGGCCACTTGAACACACAGTTTGTAAATCTGAGAGAACAATATAACATCCATATACATCCAACAGCAATTCAATATCATTTAAAATGAGCATGTATAATTCTGTAAGGTTCATTTACTTTTTTAGTTATTAGATGTATATAATATATATATCTATTTCTGCCTTCAAATAAACACTATTAATTTACATTTTTATCATGGAACATTTATGCAAGTTGGAAACAAGGGACATTTGAAAAGAATGTTTTTAAAAAAACAGTTATTATAAAACTTTATCACAAAGGATGGGGCTGTTTCAGATTTTTCATTTTTACTAGCATGCATCATTACTTATCTCACCAAAAACGTTACCTAGGGGTGGCGCAGTGTGCGTCAATGTCAAGGACATCTATCTCACGTTGTTACGTTTAAATTTTGTCGTGCCTTGTTCAAGAGGAATAAGGATAATTCATTCATGATATAGGACAAATCTACCATGTGTGTATGTATCTCACCTGATGTTGGCATCACAGTTTCGGCGCCATTATGGGAACAAGTGTGCAGTCAATTGCACCAAGTAGTTAAGGGAATCAAGCTTTGCCGAAGAATAATTCTTTGGGAATCTTCTGAGTGGCAGGCATTGTGGTAAATACAAAATCGCCCATGCCCGCACATAGTGTTGCATAGATTGCTCTGCAGTGGATATCGGCAATCTCACTGTAAAACCCACCCTTGGAGAATTATTGCAGAGCAATTATAATATTAAGGGACGGTAGTATTTTATGAGAACGCTGTGTTGAATGTTCACGTCTGTCACTCACTCTATCAATAATAGAAAATACAATGATGTCCCAGTAAGGGTCACAGTACTATCGTAACAGCATACTGGCACCCTATTGTCCCGTTTGTAAGACTTGTTGGTCGATGTTGTGTTGTTCACGTTGACAACGCCCTTGTTCACATTGCACGAGTCGTCAATGCTCACGTCCAGCACCACCAAATCCATAGAATGCCATGCAATCAGCCCAGACCTTTTCCCAATTGAACACATCTGTGACATGATAGGAAGACGTGAGCGCCAACGACAGAGACCGCCGAACACGTTGGCGGAACTTGGCCAGGTGCGGCAAGAGCTAGGAGTGAGACAGACTCCCTCAAATCGCCATTTTGAGACTCATAAGCAGAGTGAATGATTGTGTAACAAATCATGGCGGTTTTACGCGCAGCTGGTCCAAAAACTGTAACTTTGAAATCTCCCATCTTACCCTATTGTCCTTCAAAATCGCTGGTGGTCATAACACCTACTGTCATACCTCACAACCGTTTGTACTGTTTTTACCATACAACTATACACTATCTCTCACAATTTCGGAGCATCACCTAAATTTTGACACATTTATTTACAAAATTTTCGTATCTTAATTTTTATTCTCTTCCTTGGTTCGTAATCCGAAAAGTTTGCCCTATAAAGCAGAAAAGGAGACATTTTAAATTAAAATCTTTAAAAAAAATATAGATATATCTCAAATTTACGAACAGATCATTAACTCAATACATGTACAAGACAGAAAATGCAATACATGCATAATACGTAATTATAATAGGTAACCTTTTCTGTCTGTACATCCCAATATGACCAATTTCCATTTTATGAAAATGTATCTCCATTTGTATGAACAATTAGTTTAGCCTTGCTTCATATGAACTTCATTATCCCACCTTTGACAGTATTCGTAGAGTAAATCTCTTTCTCTGTAGACAATATAACATAGCAGAGCAAGATTCATTGTCCCTGAAATATAGAGCTAAGTAGGGTAATTATTCAAATCAATTCAGATTTAATACTGATACTATTGACCCTTCTAACAACAAAAAGGTTTAAACACACGTACATATGAAACGTCGACACCTACAAATATAAATCGTCTATTATAAAAT